TAAAAAAAAAAGGGAAAAAAAACCCTACAGAGCACAAGTTTAGGATTCCTCCTTCAAAATATTAAAAAACGAAGAAGGAACCTTATCAAGAAAAATATCATCCCAAAAAAAAAGAAGAAAAAACTCCAAAGTTAGCACATAAGTCTGCTAACTTATTACAATCTCTTTTAATGCTATTGAAAATAACATAATTGAAACTATCATTAAAAGAAATTTTATCCATACCATTTCCTCATTTTTGAGAGCTTTATGGATGAATTTGATAACATTTGCATTATCACTTTCAATGATGATACCTTTATACTCATGCATCTGATCCTTGATCTCATCTTTAATAGATGTTATGGCAAGAAACTCCAGGTAAGTGATATCCCAATGCATATAAGGTCTTCAAATAGCTGCTATCATTCTTTCTTTGTGGTCTCTAACCACTCGTCCAATGCCTCCTTTATAGGAAGGAAATAATGCTGCATCTATATTTACCTTGATCGAATCGGGTCGAGGAGAGTACCAATGATTCTCCAATAGTGAAAGCTGATTAGTAATTAATCGGCCCGTGTTGATGTAATTAGGAGCATTAGCAACTCCTACATAGCTCACCACCTCAGCTGCTATATGTACCTAGCTACTTTCCTTCTTGCCATGAACTAGTTTGTTTGTCTGCTTCTAAGTAAAGTAAATGGAATTACATAACAAACTAGATAGAAATGCATTCTGTTTTACCTGCATATTATACATCTCTTTCTTAGAATTGAAAAGAGGGATATCAAAACCCCACATGTTCAGCTGCTGAATTACTTCTCCAATCTTGTGGAATATGCTAATCATATGACAAATGTTTTCTTCCTCATTACAACCTCTTGGACAATATGCAATCCTTTGAAGTTTTATATACATTAAAAATGAATTGGTTGGCAAAGCATTGTTGAAAATCCTCCACCAGAAATTTTCCAATCTAGCATTCAATTTTGTTTTCTTCAACCATTTATAGCCTTCGTTATCAGTGTATTGATTAGAATTGTTAACAACAGTCATTGAAGTTATAGTTTTCCCTAATTACATGTGAATGAGTTCAAATTTATCTTCATTAAGATCAGGCTAAATTTTGATATTACAGATGAGTTCCAAAAATTCCTTCCCGAAGAACTTCTCTAGTTCTGGACTGCACCATTGATCTCCCAAGATAAAACTATCCACTATGAAGGATCCATTCATTTCTTCTAGGGAGTTGACAAATGTAGTCCATTTGTTAAGATATTTGTCCATAATCCATATATCTTCAAAGACATCGATAGATTGACCATTTGTTATATTCCATCTCACAATTGGTTTAAGGAATTTACTTCCATCGTTAATTAGCTTCCACACCGTAGAAATAGATTTAGTCCAGTTTCCAGCATTCCAACAGGAACCATATCTTGGATACAATGTTTTATGCATCAAGGAGTCTTCTTCTTTCAGGTATCTCCAAGCTAATTTAGCCCTTAAAGGACACATTTTGTTGGAGCATGAATGTAGCCCTCTACCTCCATATTCTAGTGGTTCACACATTTTATTCCAGCATACATAGTGCAAGCTGTGCTCCTCATTTGACTTGTTCTAGATAACGTTATGGCAAAATTTCTCAATTTCTTCCAGAACACCTCTTGGAACCAGAGAAATCGTAGAATGAAAGAATGGAAGAGAAAGGATAACTGTCTTGACCAATGTTATTTTGCCTGCCATTGAGATGAAATTTGATCCCCAACTATTCAGCTTCATCAGAACTTTATCTATCATAAATTGGAAGACCACCTGGAAAGTCTTCTTAATGCCAATTTAGTTTTAAGATAGTTGAACTCCTTGACCTCCTTGAATCCCATAATGCCTTTAATCTTCCTTTTATTCCTTCTTTTAACAGCTTTGCAAAATAAAGTCCAAGATTTGCTTATGTTTACCTTTTGACCAGTCCATTCACAATACATCTTGATAATGCCCTTGATAGTCTTCAGATTTTTAAATTTTGCTTTAGCAAAGAAAATGTCATCATCCGCGTATAGCAAATGCGAGATCCTTGGGCTATTTTGGCTCACCCAAATATCAATTTCTTCCTTCTCCCTAATAGCATTAGAAAGAAGCTGAGAACACTGAATAAATAGGTAAGGCAACAAGGGACACCCTGTCTGAATCCACTCAAGGCATTGATCCAATTAGAAGGATTCCCATTGATCAAAATAGAGAAAGATGGATTTTGAACACATTTCATGATGAGCTTAGGGAAGAATTCAGGAAATCCAAAATATAATAGAACTTTATGCAGAGTTGGCCACCCTATCGAGTCATTGGCCTGTTCCATGTCTAACTTGATTGACACTAATCCTTTAGATGCTTTAGAGTATATAAATTTGTGGAATAGTTCTTGAGAAATCAAAACATGCTTTTGAAGAGACCTCCCCATGACCAAAGCTGCTTGCTTTAAGGAGATTAGTTTTGGAATGACACCATTTAATCTATTAAGCAGAACCTTGGAAGCTACCTTGTAAACCATGTTACGAAGGCTAATAGGCCAATAGTTAGTGCAATTTTTGGATTGTTGATTTTTGGAATTAATACAATAATAGTTCTCTTCCAGTTAACATTCATTTCAGCCGTTTCAAAAAATAGTTTTATAGATTTCCAAAAATCTAATTTAATGATAGACCAATAGCTTTAAATAAAGGAATAAGAAATTCCATCCTCACCGGGAGATGTGAATCCACTAGTTTCTCTTATAGCCTTCTCCACTTCATCAATGGTGAAACTGCTATTGAGCTGGGTTCGTTCCTCCAATTCTAGGCAATGTTGATTTCTCAACCAACCCTCAGGAAAGCATTTCCTATCACACCATTTGTTGTTGAAGAATTGAATTAAAACATCTTCAATCTGATTTTGCTCCTCCACCATATTCTCGTTGCCATCCTTAATGCAAGGGATGAAATTTATATCCTTTCTAGCACTAGCAGCCGAGTGAAAAAATTTAAAATTTTGATCACCTTCTCCAATCCATTTTACCTTGGATCGTTGTCTCCACCAAGTTCCTAACTATGCCAATGTAGAATTAAGCTCATTAATTTTGAATTTCAGCAAGTAATATTCATCTTGAGATAGCTTACCAACCTCTGCTTCCTTAGTTTAAGGCTTTAGGATTTCTTCTGTGAGCATGTCTTTCAATTGGTTCAAATCTTTAAGCTTGGCCTTGCTCCAAGAGAATAAGGATCTAAGAGTTCTTTTCATCTTGAAGTTAAGAGTATCAGCTGCCGATCCCGTATCAGTTTTGTTCCTAGCTTTCTCCACTATAGCATATGATGCCGGGTACGAAGCCCAAAAAACCTCAAATTTGATTGATCTTCTAATTTTAAAAGAAGAGTCAAAAGTGTTAAGTAGAATGGGACAGTGATCCAAAGCAATCCTTGGTAGATGCTTAACAACCATATGCTGATTAAAGTTAACTGAAGTCGAGTTGACCATCATACGATCTAACCTTTCCATAATCTGATCGGCCCCTTATTTGTTATTTCTCCAAGTGAGCCTAGGACCAATGAATACTAGCTCATGAAGATCATTGGACATCAAGAAGGATTTCATTTCCTTGGGCCCCAAAGAAAATGAAAATCTCCTACCACCTTTCTTGTCTTCTTTAGACAAAAGACAATTGATGTCCCCGCCAATCAACATAGGCCAATCAATGGTGATATGAGTTTCCAACCCATTTCAAAGATATCTTCTATTATAAATGCCTTTGCTTTTATAAATTGTATCAATCCTCCATCTACCCTTGTTAAGGATATCCAAATCTCCAATAATGAATTGGGAAGAAGATTCTAACCTGCTGAATTTAGCCAAGCTTCTCCTCCAAAGCACAAGAATACCACCTGATAACCTAGCTGAAGGTACATAATTGAAGTCCCATCCAGTGCCAATCAATAACTCCACTTTTTTATAATCAATAGAGACCATTTTAAACTCCAACAAACCAATAAAAAGAATATTGTGATCTTTCACCACCTCCTTGAGGTAGAGAGAAGCCTTTTTTTTTCTTGGATCCTCTATAATTCCATATCAATATAGAGTTCATTTATGGATCAGTGGGGAAGATTTCCTCCTTTTCTCCTTTTTAACTCCATCCATTTTTCTATTCCTAGGCATCAAATTAATAGGTCCCAGTACTTTAAATTGTTTCACACCTTTCTTCTAAACTGTGGAAGAGCTACCATCATTACCTCTCGGTTCTACATTGTTAATAAATGTAGATTTCAGCATAACATCATGAGTTTTATCCCTATCAAGGACAAGATTGTCTGGAGGTATATTCTCTTGAACTCTCTCCTTCCTTAGCAATGTTATTCAAGGCTTCAAATTTATTTTTATTACCAGGAATTCCTTCAGTGATAAAATTTTTACCATGACCCTTTTCTAACTTTCTTTGAATATCCACTCCAGTGCAACTGATATCATCTTTTGATGGAGACCTTTTCTTCTCACCTTCTTTATCCAGATTCTGATCAACTAGACCCATTGAAGCAGGTTTTAATAGTTCTTTTGCACCAATTGCTTCAATAACATTAGAAGTGCTGGGAATAACAAAATCATTTGAATTTTTATCAAGAGTTGCTTTTAAGATCCTATCTTCTCCTTTTGTTGAAAGAGATCTAGGAACTTTCTTCTTTTTGTAATTCAGATGAATCCATGGACCATATACTTCTCCATTGCTTCCATTATTTGAAGCTAGTGCTTGTGATTTTGTTTTTGGTTCTGTTACTATGAAATTCTCTACCAACTTATCTTTACTGACTTGAGCTTCCACAACTTGATTTTGTTTGATTGGTGACATTTTCTTCAAGCATTCCTTCCTTAGGTGACCAAGCTTTCCACAGTTGAAGCAGAAGGTAGGCAATCTTTCATATTCTATGCTTTGGTATAATTTACCCAAATTACCTTTCACCCATACTCCTAATGATAATTTCTCATCAAGTTTGATTCTCACACAAACCCTTGTGAATTCTCTTCTACTCCACTGGAACATGTTTTCGTCAATTAAGTATGGAGTGCCCAACATGGATGCAATTCTACAAACATTTACTTCATCCCAACGTTGAAGTGGAAGGCTGGGCATTCGAATCCAAATTGGAGCCATGAAACCTTTGAATGAAGAAGGTGAGAAAGCAACTGCCCTTCTGTCCATGCCCACTATGTTACCATTTACATACCAGGGACCTGAAGCTATGATTTCCTCCAAAGAGTCATTTTCTTCGAATGCACAGAGCACCCATCCCAATCCTAATCGGGTTAAATGGAATTTCCCAATCCTAGCCCATTGCTTCCTCAACTCAATGCTTATGATATTAAAAGGGATATTACTGCCAAAGACCTTGATCACAAGAAACTTCTTAAGTCTGTTTGAGTTATCCTGTTCCTTCTCCAAATGAAGCTTTACCATGATGCATGTGACAAAACAACATATGAAGGTCACCGCCTATTGCTTTGTAACACTCTAGAGAGAGAAGCTCCGTTTTCTAGAGAGAGAAAGTTCGAATTCTGGTTCTAGCGACTTTTTGCCTCCGTCCATGGAGGCTTCTGATCAGCTTCTGTCGGATCATCCTGATCCACAATTTCGTGCCAAATTATTATCCTCCATCGAGCAATCATCTGGTAAGGAGATTCAATTGAAAACCAGATCTCGGATTAAACCGTTGTTCTTGAAAGAAGACTCTTGTTCCTCTGCTCGGGCCATAAAATCTCATCTTTCTTCTGATGAGAAGGGTAAAGGTATTGAGATCGATCGCCAGGCCAATGTTCTGACTGGATTAATCTTTTGTTCTCTGAACAAAGATTTGTTGATTACTTCAAACCCTATTGATAAAGATTTCAAGAAGACTACATCTCTGTGTCCTGATGACAAAGACGCTAATCCTAATATTACTGTTCCATTGGAAACTTGTTCTGATGAAACAGTAAATTCTAAAGCCAATTTTCTCAACGCCTGGTCCAAACCCCATCGCATTAAAATCAACTTTGATGCTAGCTCCATAGTAATGTCCCTACATGGAGTAGCAGTTAAATTGAATGCTGATTTAGAATTGAACAACTCTTAAGTTCTCTTTAACTCAATTGTTTTGAATGTTTTGGGGAAGAGCATTCCTTTCTCGATTTGCAGTATGGAATTGCGCAAGCAATGGAATAGATTTGGTACTTTTCACCTTGACTCTTTAGGAATGAATTTGATCCTTTGCTCTTTTAAGACAGCTGCTGTTATGGACAAAGTTCTCAGTGGAGGGCCTTGGTATATTGGAGGACACATTGTTGGCTTAGACAAATGGTCACCTTCTTTTTAACCAATTTCTTTAAAAGGACTGACTGGTCCGGTTTGGATCCGCTTTCCTCATATGCCTTTGCAATGCTGGGATGAGGTCAACATTGCTACAATTACATCCAGAATTGGTACACCATTATTCTTTGATGGTAACTCCTTCATTAGGAGTAAGAAGGAATATGCGCGCATATGTGTTTGTATCAACCTTGAAACCAAATTACCTTCGGGAGTCTGGGTTGACGGGTTGGGAGGTAGATTCTATCAGAAAGTAGAATATGAAAAATTATCCTCATTCTATTATAACTGGGCAAAAATTGGGCATTTGAAGCCCACTTGTCCAGACCTTTTGCCTACTATGAACACTGATTTTAGTAATACATCAAATGGTGATGTTAATCATGCTGCTACTCACACTGATCAACATGAAACTTTTGGTCCCTAGATTCATGTCAATTTCAAAAGAAGATCTAAGCAAACCAGGAAACATTGGGTTCCTCAGACTATGAAAACAAATGCTTTAGGAAATCCTGTTGCAGCTAACTGTATCACTGATGTTGAACCTGCTAAGGATTCCAAAGAGACTAAATCCATTGATGGAAAGTTGTCAGTAATTTCAAACAGCAGCAGATCTCTCCAAAAGGTGCGTTAAGTCTGACCAATAACTTTGAGGTTCTTAAGGATGATAACATTCAAGAACTTGTTGAGAAGCATGGTAAGGCGTGTTTGGAATCGGACCTGACTCCTGTTATTTTAAATTCTGGGAAAACAGATGGTTCCAACTCTGCTTTAGTTGATTTTGCAGAGATTGCTTTAGATGAGAATGGCTTTGAAAATACATGTGCTATTCCTCATTTACCAGTTACATAACCCATGAATCTAGTTCCAGATGATACCGACTACTATAACATATTCTGAAATCAATCTTGATTCCAATCATAAGGAAATTCTGGTTGAAGAAGGTTTGGGTACTCAATTTTTTCCTGGAGATTCTTTTCAGGATCCTTCAGAATCTAAAATTGTCTCTGTTGATCTACACAATTCCAAAAAGAATAAATCAAAACCACAACTAAAATTCTTGGGACCAATTGAACCAGCTTCAAGGAAAAGGCGTTTAGAGGGCAAGAACAAAAAGAAAGGCGGGGACTCTTCCCCTTATGTTATTTAATGCCTTCATTAATGTTTTGGAATTGTAGAGGGGTTAAAAAAAGGAAACCTCCCTCTACCTAAAGGAAGTTGTGCAGGATAATGCAGTTTTCTTTGTAGGCCTTGCTGAAACAAAGGTTGCCTCAATCAACAAGAAGGATATAAATAAACTGATTGGTAATAATTGGGATTTTTTTCATCAACCTGCGGCTGGTACTGTAGGCGGGATTCTTATCTTATGGAATAATAATTTGGCTAACTTTACGGTGTTAGATCATTCTCCACAAGCTGTCTTCGACACTCTAACTACTCCTAGCAAAGGTTTATGGAATATTGCTATGGTTTATGGGCATAAAGAGTTACAAGGCAAAAGAGATCATTAGAATCAGCTGGATAATCTTTTGAATATTGATGTCCCTACTATTGTAGGTGGAGACTTTAACTGTCTACTTTCCAAGGAAGATAAGAGAAGAGGTAAACGGTTTTGCTTGACTAATGGGATCAAGGAGATGTAGTTATTCATGGTTAATCATGATCTTCATGATTTTGGTGTAATTGGGTCTAAATATACATGGTGCAAAAACAAACAAGGTAATGCTAGAATTTGGGAACGGTTAGACCGTTGTTTGCTGAACTCCCCTGCTTTACAGTTAGTCCCGTCTACTTCAATTCGACATCTTGCTAGAGTAGCCTCTGAACACTGTCCAATTGCTTTCAAGCTTGAATATAATATACATTCTCATCCTAAAACATTCAGGTTTGAGGATACCTGGAAAACTTATCCTGCCACTACAAGGATTGTTGCCAATGCCTGGAATAAGAACGTCTTCGGAGATGAAGCTGAGATTCTTAATAGAAAAATTAAGAGAACTTTAAAAGCTCTTTTTTTTCTGGAATAAAAATAAGTGTAAAGATTTGAATCTTCTCAAAGAAGAGTTGAAAAATGACATTCTTAAGCTTCAACTACAAGAAGAAGTAGATAACGGTCTCAGTCCCAAAAACCTTACTTTACTGCACAGTAAGATCAGGGAGTTGAATGTCACTCTTATGAGACTATCTGTGTGGTGGAATCAACGCGCCAAAGCAAGCTAGAACAAAGAAGGTGACACTAATTCAAGATATTACCACACCTATGCTATGACTAGAAAGAATGGAAAACTGATCAGGCAAATTAAGGATGAGGAAAACAATATTGTGGATGATATGGAAAGCATTGAATCTATTTTTTTTAGATTCTTTGAAGACAAATGGAAACGCAGGGAATGCAATATTTTGAATTGGCCCTATACCGAATAAATCCAGCTTATAGATAATACAGATTGAGATTTTTTAGACACTGAATTTACTAAGAATGAATTCTTAGCCGCAGTCTTCCAGCAAGGTTCAAACAAATCGCTGGGCTTGGATGGTTCAACTTCAACTTTTTTCAAATTCTATTGGGACATTGTAAAAGACACTACTTGGAAGGCTTTCAAGAATTTTTCTCTACTAGCTACATGAATGAAGTGTGGAAAGATACGCTGATTGTGCTTATCCCCAAGATCAAGTTACCAGCAACTCCTTCCAACTTTCATCCTATCAGTCTTTGCCAAACAGTTTATAAAATTGTCACCACCATGCTAGTAAATAGATTAAAAGTCTGCATTCCCAAAATTATTTCTGAGGAACAAGTTGCTTATGTTCCGGGAAGATCTATGTCTGATCATTCCCTTCTAGCTTTGAAAATCTTCAATAAATTCAGAATTTCTAAAAATAAGAAGGGATTAATGGCTGTCAAGCTTGACATGGCCCAAGCATTTGATAGTATGTGCTGGAAGACCTTAGAGAATATTCTCTCCTAGTTCAGGTTTCCGGTTAAATTTTCAACACTTATATTAGAATGTGTTACCAAGGTTCGGTTCTCTATTCTTTTAAATGGAAAAGGAACCAGATGGATTGAAGCCAGGAGTGGCTTTCGATAAGGCTGTCCTATGTCGCCTTATCTATTCATCATGTGCTCTCAACTTCTCTCCAACGTAATCAATCAGAGAGGCTATCAGTTTGGCATCCAAATCTCCTCCAGAGCATCGAGAATTACACATTTACTGTATGCAAATGATGTATTGCTGTTTGGATCTGCTTCCACTTCACAGTTTAAGGACATGATGAATTTAGTCTCTGGCTATTGTGGTTGGACGGGACAAGGTATTAATCAGACTAAATCCAAAAATTTTTTTCGTGAAATATGTTGAATCTTCCATAAAACATAAGATTGGTAAGATCTCAGGCTTTAAAATTGTGAGGGAATTCAAAAACCTGGGAATTAATATAGCTTTGAGACGCTTGGTTAAAAGCAATTTATTATTGAACATGCACTTCATAAATTGAATACTTGAGGAGCTCGTTTTCTATCACTTTCTTGAAGGCTTATCCTTTCTATGTCTTCACACCTTTCACTCCCTACATTTATTTCTACGCATTCTTTAATCCCCAAGAAGGTTTTATATGAGCTGGACCGAATCTACAGAGATTTTATCTGGCATCAAAATTATGGTATTAAAGGACTTCATTACATTGCTTGGGAAGATTTATGTATTCCTAGAGATAGAGGTGGTTTGGGCATGCACTCCTCTTTTGACAGAGTTGGTCCTTTAAGAGCACGGTTGGCTTGGAGACTTTATCAGAATCAAACCTCTCTTCTTCATCAATGCTGGTCTGCTAAATATGGTTCCTTCAAGTGGAACTGTAAGAACAAAAATGGGCAATCTACAGCTAGATCCATAATCATTGATGGAGTCTCTTTTCTCAAACCAATTGTTAAGTGGAACATTGTTAATGGGGCTAGTATCAGTGTGATGAATGATATCTGGTTACTTAATAAATGTTTCAGCAAATGGCCTACACTTGCTGATTGTAACGGATTAGAAAACCTGATGCTGAATAACTTTGTTCTTGATAATGGCATTTGGAACATTGAGAAACTCTACCATTATTTCAACTCCGAG